TATATAGCAGCAACCATCAAGTACCTGCAAAGAGTAAGGCAAGTCCTGAGAAGTCAGCTGAATGAAAAGAACAAAGTCTGGGCAATTGACACCTATGCTCTGCCGGTCATCAGGTACCCCGCTGGCATAATAAGCTGGCCAAAGGAGGAGACAGAGGCCATTGACATCAACACAAGGAAGCTCCTTACAATGCACGGCAGGGTTCACCCCAAGTCCAGCATCCTGAGACTGTACACTAAGTGGAAGGAAGGAGGCCGAGGATTAGTGAGCGTCAGAGCCACTATCCAGGATGAAATAACAAAGATCCATGAATATATGAGGCATATGGTCCTGAGTGATGATGTGCTTAGTGAATACCTCAGGCAGCAGAAACCAGAGGAACAAGGGAAGGAACAGCAGGAACCGTCATGGAAGGACAAACCTCTGCACAGTATGTACCATCGTCAAATAAAAGAAGTGGCTGATATAAAAAAATCCTACCAGTGGCTGGACAAAGCTGGACTGAATTTTTTAAAAATATGTATAGTATATACTGTATATATTATACTATACAGATAGACATACAGTCGGTGCAGTCATCATAATATGGAAAAAAAAACACTTGGATGTGCAGTATATGGGCTTCATGGAGAAGTGGAGGTAGTGGTTATAAATAAGTGGTTCATGCCAATAGTAGAATCAAAAAGTAGCTAGCTAGCTAGCCCTGATAAAGTAACTACCTCACAAGGGTGACTGTGAAAGTCAGTATTTTAATGTTAGATGTATCAATGTGATATTTTATGAATATGATTCAGTCCTATATGCCAAAACTGTTGTGACCAGAAGAGCAATCTCTGCTCCTATTGGCCAGCATCGCCCCAACATGTTGGGGAAGCAGAAAAAATTGTGACATAGTGACGTGGTGAGGCATCCAAAACGTGGCATTGGCCATTGTTTACTATGATACACTATATGAGATAAAACCGATTGTTGCAGATGCTTGTTCTCGGTTCTGACATACAGGTGGCATAATGAGAACCTGGCATTAATGAGATACAGTAATAATGACTCACCAAACACCACTAGTTCAGCAG